CTGTTGAAATTAAAAGTCATTCCGATTCGTATTGGACGAAAAATCTACATGCAGAGTAAGAAATGTGTATACGACTTAATGGACTGAAACATTTCTTATCACATCACTGTGATATATTTTATAAGGTTTTACAACTCTTACCAATTTCTTCTTCATTATTTGTTTTGTCTTATTCCAACATTAAAATATTTTTCTATTCATTAATGAATAATTTAACCAGCTATCTAATGAGGGAAGATGTACATTGGTACCATTTCACCAAAAGTAAGAATCAGCTGTTCGGCAGATCTTTGTTCCGTGAGTTGCTGGAATAGTAATCTAAGATCGTCTTGACTCCCTAGCACGTCAGACAAGTAAGTTTCAACAAGGCAAATCAAAAAAATCGTGCAAAAACCATTTTCCCCACTTTTGAAACCACAGCAATGGTTCAGGACGACGCCTCTTATATCTAAATCAAACTCAATAGGACATTCTTCACTAGGAAAATGACGAATCAAGCTGCTGATCTGGGGCCTTAGAGGCCGTTGGCCCGGCGCTTCGACGCCTCCTCGGGTCGTCGATCCCTTGGTGATGATACGGGCTAGAAGGGTCCTCGTCCTTCGTTGGTCGTCGAGGCCGCTAGTACAACATAACACAGCACAAAACCTGCGGCCTTGTATAGGCAGCTTCGCGTCATTATACCTGTCCCGGCTAGGAGGGAATCATCATGCAACAAAGCAATCCTTGAAGGGCTAAAAAGTTAGCTTGCTATGCATGCTTGGCCTGTCTTCAGCAGCATCCTGAGCTCCACTCTAACAATCTAGACCGCTCAGATGGCTCGACGCCAAAAGTCAATTTGGCTCTATCACTTTACCCGTAAAAACCAACCACACGAACTCCCAGTTTACCGCAAAATGATACAGAAATAAAGAGAAATTCGAATATTACGCTCTTGAAAATTTGAATAAATTTGCATATATGATTATCGTAATTTCCACTAATGCAAGTTTTTATGAAGATCCGTGTGAGACCACCAGGATAAGCAGTTTGTAGCTGGGATGACAGTACTTCCGCAGATGAAACCAAGCAAAACGAGTAGTGTTAAGGCAGATTCTTTAGTTCTCAGCCGTGCGTCTCTAATTTTTACTCAATATAATTGTGATTTCTTTGCGAGTCAATTAATGAACTACCACATATATTTGCGAACTTTACCCATTTCAAACGCACATTCTCTGGATGCAGCAAAAAAACCAATATTTTTAGTTTATCAAAAAAGTGCTTTTCTGCGTGATCGTAACGATATCTTGCACGCCGCTCATCTGACGGAGAATCTGACTGTTTATGCGACTAGGCACTCCAAGCACCTTTTGCTTGCTTCACAGCACACTCCCCGTTCTTCTATGTCAGTCAGTGACTACGTTTTACATCTATACGTTACTGCCTTTAATAAAGTGATCCAGAACAACTTGATACCAGACAAGTTAGAAAATATTTGGCAATACTAAAGTTAAAGTTAAGCTCCTCTCTCCCCCCCCCCTTCTTTTCCTCATTTCCCCTCTACGAGAGGCCGAAACGTCTGGGAAGTAGTCCGAGTGGTCGTAAATGTCAACAGTAACCACTTGCCGACTGGAAACTGCCAATGGCTGCCTCATCTGAGCGTTGCTTGTAAAAATTAGCTCAACTGTAGGTTACAAAAAAAGTCATGAAAAATTTGGCAAAGTCAAAACCGCCCCATATTGGATCTTCATCACAGGCTGAGGCATCTGGGAGGTTGTCCAAGTGGTCGCAAATGTCAACAGTAAATTAGCTCAATTGTAAGTTACAAAAAAAAGTCGTGAAAAATTTGGCAAAGTCAAGCTCGCTCTGTATTCGTTCTTTATTAGAGGCCAAGACATCTGGGAAGTAGTCCGAGTGGTCGCAAATGTCAACAATAAATTAGCTCAATTGTAGGTTAGGAAAAAAAGTCATGAAAAATTTGGCAAAGTCAAGCTCGCTCTGTATTCGCTCTTTATCAGAGGCTAAGGCATCTGGGAAATATTCCGAGTGGTCGCGAAATTTCAACAATAAATTAGCTCAATTGTAAGTTGCAAAAAAAGTGAAAAATTTGGCAATATCAAAGTCAAAGTCAAGCCCGCTCTGTACTCGTTCATCACATGCTAAGACATCTGGGAACTAGTTCGAGTGGTCGTAAATGTCAAAAATAATCACTTGCTAACAAAAAACTGCCAAAAGCTCCCTCACGTGAAAATTGCTTGTAAATCAGCTCAATAATGGATTGGATTTGCCAAAAAACGGATGTCAATATCGATTTACCACCGAAATGGACTGACTACGCGCACAGGAAATGGTCATTACAGCAGCGGAGCCGAATCCTCAACCTACGTTAGGTCAAGGGTTCGATGTTGACTATAATACCATGAAAGAATGCAAAAAAAAAAAAATCGTGTAAAAGCGGAAAAAAG